TACTGCTTGTTCATATTTAAGTGATTGTCCACTAGGACTCTTAATATCCCTCACTTAGTTACTTCTTTTCAACTATGTACCACCTATTCTATACCTGATCATTTGGTTTTTCTTGCCTATTTTTCTCACAGTGAATTTTATTTTTGTTAGATAGAGCCCAGTATTCAAGTCTGTCAAGATCCTTCTGTATCTTGAGCCTATCTTCTGGAGTGTTGCCTGTTCTTGTCAGCTTGGTGTCACCTGAAAATTTGATGAGTTTCCCTCCTATCCTCTCATCTAAATCATTGATTAAGATATTGAAGAGTACTGGGCCTAAGACAGCGCTTTGGCGTACCCTACTGCATACTTTTCTCCATGCAGATGCAGTTCCATTAAATACTATGTTTTGAATGCAGTTGATCAGCCAGTTACAAATCCATTTGGTAGTGATGCTGTCTAACCCATATTTTAATAAAGTAGTGATCTACTTTATCAAATAGCTTACTAAAGTCCAAGTAAATTATATTCACAGCATTCCTCTGACCCTCCAATTTTGTCGCATTGTCAAAGAATGCAATTTCTCTGGCATGATCTGTTTTTGACCAACCCTTGTTGGCTTTTGGTTATGATTTCATTTGTTCACAGATTCATTGCTTGATTATCGTTTCCAGAATCTTTCCAGGTATTGATAGGCATGTCATTTTCTAGATCCAATTTTCCCCACTTTTTTGAAGATGGGAACTACATCAGCTCTTTTCCAGTCATCTAGTAGTTCCTTGGTGCTCCATCTTTGAAAGTCAGCTATTCCGAAATCACATCTACCAGTTCCTTCAGAATGTTGGGGTTCTGAAAGAGAGAGAGAAGAGAGGAAATAATGAAAAACAAATTTTTAAAATCTTTCTAGAGTTCCTGAGATAAATTCCTAGTTGCTCAAACTACTCAGTTTTGACATATGCCACATTTTGAGGATAAGAAATTGCAAGCATATTAAATTGCTCTTCTAAAACCCATGATTATTTCACATACTGATTTTTCATCTAAAAAAAAAACACTCACAATAAGATTTCTTACATAGTGGTACATGGAGAAGAGTTGTTCAGCTATAAAGCTGAACTTTATTGCTTATAATGTAACTTAATGATTAATTTAAAGTCACCTTTATAATCTGGATGTTTCAGTAGCCATTTTATAGCCTTCTTATATTTAATCTTACAGCAATTGCATTGATTTTTTATTTGCTTGTTTTAGCTTAATGTAGAATTTGTTTAATAATTTTTATTTCACTTTTCTTTATGTCTGGTGATTCTTATCATAAAATTGTATACAATTCTGGTCAGTAACTTTAATACGATTTTGATTGATTGATTGCCTTGGAAGAAAGTATTTTCCAAAACAAAAAACTATTTATATAATTGATGCAATTTTTTTTCAGTGGAAAAAGACAGTTGGACCTCAGACAAATTAATCAGATAATGTGAATAAAAAAAACTATGCCTCCAAAAAAGATAAAGATAGAAGCAACATTACTTTGCCTGGTCACTTACTGCAAGCTATTAAGTGAATTAAATTATTGCATATATGGTAGCTAGTGCAAATAGAACACTACCTCTATTCCTTAGGGTAAAATAAAAGTATGTCAGTTGTCAATGTTTCTGAAACGTTGTTAGATATAGTTCCTTACTGTTATAACTACAACAGATAATTATGATTATTTTAATGTGGCGTGGCAGATTTTCTGGGCCGTAGGAAGTTAGGCAGTACATTTCCCATGTACGATAGAAAATTTTGATTTTGAGTAGAAGAGGATATATGTAGGTTTGAATTGTGAAGTCCTTGGTGCTGTCTAAGCTTGGTTTGCTTGCATACATTTCATTATCTGTACTAGTGAATGTGGAGGTTGTTCCTTGTTTATATACAACAGCTTGCCCTCCAAGTTTTGATGGAGGTATAGTTTTACAGCCGAGGTGGCGCAGTGGTTAAATGCAGCACTGCAGGCTACTTCAGCTGACTGCAGTTCTGCAGTTCGCCTGTTCAAATCTCACCGGCTCAAGGTTGACTCAGCCTTCCATCCTTCCGAGGTGGGTGAAATGAGGACCCGGATTGTTGTGGGCAATATGCTGACTCTGTAAACCACTTAGAGAGGGCTGAAAGCCATATGAAGCGGTGTATAAGTCTAACTGCTATTGCTATTACTATTCTCCTTGGAGTTCCTTGATAAGAGTATTATTTTCTGCTTAATAGTTTGTCTGGTGTTAATCCCTGTTTGTCTGGGTATTGGCTGCTGGAGAGGACATATGGTGGCCTTTTTGTTATTCCTTGCTTTTTTATTGCAATTTTTGTTTATTTAGCTATCTGTCATCTATCTGTCTATTGAATTTATTTGCTGCCCATCTCATATGTAATGACTCTGAGCAGCTTAAAATATTTACACACGTCTTTTGAATGTGTGTAAATATGCCAAGTAAATTTAAGATAAAAATGCCCAGAATCATGACCTCATAAACTTCTGCCATACTACCTACCTTCAGTTTGATGGACAGATATACCAACAAACCAGAAGAACATTCATGGGGTCATCATAATCATAGCAGAAGCTGTAATACAGCATCTAGAAATCATAGCATTCCTACACATTCAACAAAATATGGATCTAGAATGTAGATGATATTTTCATTATATTAATGAAAAGGAACAACTAGAGAAGTCAACATAAAACAATCAACATCTTCAAAAGAATTATATTCATAGAGAAGAAGGAAACAACATACTATCCTTCCTGGATATCCTCATCAACAAAGGAATAAATAGCAAATTAGAAGCAACCCGCACTAAACCAGTATTCCATTATCAAAGTAATAACCCCACCTATCATAAGAGAAACTGTATAAGAACACTTAAGATAAGACACCTAGAAAATTCAAAAAAGGAAACATGTTGCCTGTACAATATCTTACAATAAAATAGATACCCACACAACTTTAATCAAAAAGTGTGTGACCAGCTAACTATAGCACAACCCAATGCAAGCTATGGAAAGGATAACTCTACCATACATCAAAACAACCAATATATTACAACTACATGCAGTCACTACAGCACACAAGGTAACTAAAATCCTCTGAAATATCTTAACTAAACCAAAAGAACAGTAGCCCAAGGGAAAAAGCAGGAATCATCTACAACATTGAGTGTAATAATTGTAGCAGTCACCATAACAGAACGCATTCATGAACATCAACTGGCAGTCATAAGACATGATGAAAACTCCTTAATCTTATAGATTGAACCACAGTTTCAATGGGAAACAATGAGCATTGAAAAATGCCTGGAAGTTGGGTATTCAGACAAATCAGCCATCAACAGACACATAGACTAACTTGATTCTGCACCTAATAACGGCGGCAAGACTGTTGGTGGCGCAATACTGGAAGAAGG